AGCGCACATTTGTAGAGACATGCATGGTGTTCAGCAAATGCTCTGTGCTCACAAATGTAACTGAACTTGCTCTCGGACACTGGAATTGGTAGATTGAGTGATCAAGAGAAAAGATGAGATAAAAATTATATCCTGCTAGCTTAATATCCATTCGACTATTCCATGTGATTTAGTGAAAAAATAAGTTTAAATTGTTGACTGAAATAAACATTTTGGATTTTCTGTGAGTCCCAAATATCTCTTCTGTAAATTTCTTATTATATAGATAATTGAAAAATATTGTATTTATTGGGCTTCTATAAACTATCTTTATTTTCAAAATAGTTTTGTTCTCTAAGATATATTTTTGGTAAATTAATGTTTAAGCACATTAAATGTAAAATACCATAAATATATTATGTTGCCATTCCAGATTACTGGATAAGTAATTGAAATTGAATGTATTTTCCCTAAAAAAGATCTAAACAACAACAATAATAAAAATACAGTGGTACCAATCAACAGTGAACAAAACCTTTTATAAAATGAAACTAAAAGATCAGGTAGTATTTGTAACAAATTTAATATGTAGGTAATTTTTTAATAATAGCTCATACAAAATGATAAGAGAAAAACATTAAGACTCCTTCCTCGGCCGGGCGCGGTGGCTCATGCCTGTAAGTCCTAGCTCTCTGGAGGCCGACCATGGTGCAGGAATCGTTGAGGCTCATGGAGTTCGAAACCAACCTGAGCACGAGCGAGACCCAGTCTCTATTATAAATAGAAAGAAATTAATTGGTCAACTAATATATATAGAAAAAATTAGCCGGGCATGGTGGCACATGCCTGTAGTCCCAGCTACTTGGGAGACTGAGGCAGCAGGATCGCTTGAGCCCAGGAGTTTGAGGTTGTGCTGTTGAGCTGAGCCCAGGAGTTTGAGGTTGCTGTGAGCTAGGCTGACGCTATGGCACTCACTCTAGCCTGGGCAACAGAGTGAGACTCTGTCTCAAAAAAAAACAAAGACTCCTTCCTCAATAAATAAGTAAATGATGCTAAGTTCAATCCACACGGTTAAAAATAAATTAAGAATTAAGAAAGAAATCTAGCAAATGGGGAATTTAAATAGTAATTAAGGAATAATTAAAACTATGATGATGTATTTCTGTCTTTTTTTAATCCCACCAAATAGACAAACACTTTAAAAATTGATATTATCCTTTTTGGGAATGTTATAATGAAACTAATATTTTTATATTCTATGTAAATTGAAAAAAGTTTAACGTACACTCTCCACCTCCACCCAGAATGAACCCAAGAAAATACAAATAAAACTCTGAAAACAAGCATAAATACAAAAAAAAACAAAAAATAAGACTCAACAAACCAAACAAAACTACTTAAAAAAGCACCGTGCGCACGCCAACCACCACCACCACCGTCAAAACCACCCACAACACACCCATCCCACAAAAACATTATATATAGACACAGAGCTGCGTTATATTCGAAAGAACTCCTGACCTTAAGCATCCGCCCGCCTTGCCTCCCAGAGTGCTAGGATTACAGGCGTGAGCCACCTCGCCCGGCCTCTCATACACATATTTAATGCTTTAGAATGTTGACTTTAGCTATGTAATGGTTCCTACATATGGGATAAAC